TGATAATGCCTACGAGAAAAAACTAATTCAAAGAAAATTTGAGTGAATAGCAAACCAATTACCTAAAAACTCTTAACATAATAAATTATCAACCTCAGTCGATGGTCAACACCCAGGGATTCTCTTCGCATTAAGCCTTCTTTTACCGCCTCGTTTCCTCATTTCTTGCTGCCCTTTTACTCAAATCTATGTTGCACGGATACTCCTATTTACGAGGCGTGCTGTATCGGATACGGATACGCCTCAGATACGGCACAGATACGTGTCGGATACGGCCTTGCCGTGTCCGATTAAAATATTATTTAAATTTGACTGGACACGCGTATCGGATACGCGTGTCCTATTAAAAAAAAAACACTGAGCCACGATTTACCCTTTTCTTTTCGACTTTCCACCGTTTTCGCTCAAAACACGGAGCAACATGTCTTTGCCCATCCTCACCAAAAAAATTTTTTTACCCACCCTGAAAAAAGAAGCTGGATCCGCCCCTGATTAGGCTCCTAGCATTTACCAAAGCATGATGTAATTGCTTCAAGTTTCCTCATTTTGATTCTCCCCCATGTTTTCCACTTAACCATTTTCCTCTTTTGCTCTACATGTATTACATTCAAACTTTTTTCTCCTATCGGCTTTCCATTTTTCCACGTCCTACTTAGTACAAACTCTTTCTCTCATCTTCTTAGTGTCTTTCTGATCCTCATCATGATGACTTCATATTAAAATAACAGAAGTTCATCACAAATTTGTCATACAATGTTATTCTTGGTCCATGAATTCATTTGGTAAGGCTTTCTAATCGTAAAGGGATTTGATTCTGCATTATTTCTATGACAAAAAAGGAATTTTCCATCAAGAAAATTATCTTACATTTTCTCTAATCTTCCTCTCATCACTTTTCTTAATGAATGCATGATTCTGCATTATCTCTGCAATTCATCCTATGCTGATGTCAGACAACTAGACTTCACCAGAGCATGACCAAAATGAGATGATTTTCCACATTTTAATTCACCTCTCCCAAGTTTTTCACTTCCCTACTTTAGTCCTCTGCATCTATTCCATTCTACTTTTATTCTCCTTTATGCTCTCCGCTTTTCCTCCTCTTAATCCAAACTCTTTCTCCCTTCTTCCTTGTTTCTTTCGGATCTTTGTCACGATGCCTTATATTAGCCATTACATTAATTTCATGGTATTCGATTTAACGATTTCTTCAGTATTATATCGTTTTGTGAAAATTTGTTATTCCTTGTTATTAGTCTATGAATTCTCAGTAAGACTTTTTACTCAGTAAATTATTTGACTGTCGCCTCAACGTAATGATCTCTACAGGTGGTTTTCAACTCTAGTGAAACATAACATAAGCAAGTTATTACCAACATGTTGCCATGCCACCACCATATCAATAATGATCAACAAGTCAAAACATCGACATTAATTCTTATTGGGACACGAATCTCACACATTTAAATGTCCTATCTGAAATGTAGGAAAGAAAGGTTGGAAAAGGCAAGGCTAGCAAAAGGGAGTAGGTTGCACAAGAAAATTGATATGCAAAAGATTATGGAAAGTCCACATTTTGGTCATTAATAATGATCTGAGGAAGATTATGTGTAATTTTCTTTTCGTTAAATGAATGTTTAAAATTTGTGTTGTAGACTATTTTCGTAAATATTATTTTGTTACTTTTGGGACTTTGCATCTATTTAAAGCTACTTCCTCTTGCATTTTACTCACTGATTAATGAGATTTTAGAATTTTAGTTTTTCTTTCGGGAACATGTTTAGCTAAGCATTTTAGATGGTGCTCTGTAATTAGAATAAAAAACCGTAAACGTAAAGAACATGTTTAGCTAAGCATTGTGATAGGAAATACTTGAGTTCGCAAGTAACTCTAAGGTAATACTTGAGTTCGCAAGCAAACCTAATCAAGATTAGCACAAAAACAGAGGAAAAACTGCTGTCCCAGCAGTTTGACAGCACCCTCGCAGCAGATTTTTTTGCACCAAACAGTGGAAATAAGAGAAACGAAGCAAGATCTTCACTAGTAGATGCAAGAAAACAAAGAAAGATACAATGTTCTTCGATTCGAGAGGAAGAACAACTCTCCACAAGTCTCTAGCAAACCCTAGAGCCCAAGCACACAATGAGATCTCAAACTTTTCATTCAAATTCAAGATGAGGACCTAATTCCCCCCTTTCCCCCTCTTTAACTCTCATCCCCATACAAAATCCCTAAACAGCCCTTCTATTCAAATTCCCCCCCCCTTTCCATTCAAATTTTTCCTCCAACCCTTGAATTAACTCCATGTGGGGCCCGCCTAGAGTAAGTAAGGACCGGAGGGGCCCGCCTAACATTACTCCCTTCCCAAAGACTCACCTTGTCCTCAAGGTGAAATGAAGGAAATTGATGTTTCATTCTTTCAAATGGCTCCCATGTAGCATCAAATTCGGGGAGCCCTTTCCATGCGATCAACACCTCTTTGTTTCCTTCCTGGTCAAGTCTCACATCTTTCAGCTCCAGAGGTTCTAGGATCACTTCCATCTCCTCAGTTAATGTTGTTGGCAGTTCAGCACTGGTTGCATACTCCCCAATGGCTTTTCTCAGCTGTGATACATGAAATACTGGATGTATAGTGGCCGAAGGGGGTAATTTCAAACGGTATGCCACTGCCCCAATTTTATCTAATATCTCATAGGGGCCAAAATACCTTGGGGATAACTTCTCATTTCTTCTGTTGGCCAAGGTCCTCTGTCTGTAGGGCCGTAGTTTTAGAAATACCTTCTCACCTACTTCAAATTGGATATCCCTTCTGTGTGCATCCGCCTGTTTCTTCATGATCTGTTGTGCCCTCATCAGATGTTTCTTCAACTCCTCCAGCATCCTATCCCTTTCTTCCAAATGCTGCTCTACTGAAGATACGGGTGTGCTGCCCCTTCCATAATGCACCAAATGTGGTGGATCTCTTCCATATAGCACTCTAGGGTCTGTGTCTGGAAGGGAAAGCTTTGGCATGGTATCAGTGGTGTGACAGGAGGGAGCCCATCCGGAGCTGGAGAGAGTTCAAGGATTGCTTATTAGAGCGTTTCTGAACCGACGGGGAAGGAGACTTGAGCAATTCTTTTCCTTAACTCAAGAAGGGACTGTGGCAGATTATCGGGATCGGTTTGAGTACTTGGCTAGCATATTGGATCACATTTCAGAGTCAGCCTTAGAAGGGAACTTCATGAAGGGGCTGAAACCAGAGATCCGAACAGCGGTCATGGTACTGGAGCCGAGGAACCTGGGAAAGGCTATGGAGCTGGCGCAGTTGGTAGAAGATCAGAAGAAAACAGAAAGAGGGGCTCGAGGAAACTGCTCATGAGGCTCTTACAGGACGACGACCACTCTTCTAACACCCAAGGGGCCTGCATCAGACAACAGTAATGAGACCACCCGGGAGAAGCCAGTAGGAGGGAGTGGGGAAAATTTCAAGAGGCTGATGGAGAAGGAGATGCAGGATAAAAGGACAAAGGGGTTATGCTTCAGATGTGATGAGAAGTACATGCTAGGGCATAGGTGCAAGAACCGAACTCTTCAGGTTCTCCTTGTCTGTGAAGACGAGGAAGACGAGGGATGTGGGAGCAGATCTGGAGAGGAGGAAAAGTTGCACCTGGATGTGGCAGAAGTATCTCTGAACTCTGTAGTGCGGTTCACTCCGAGTCACACTATGAAAGTGAAAGGAGAGATAGCTGACTGTGAGCTGGTGGTGCTAATTGATAGTGGGGCTACCCACAATTTCATTTCCACTCAGGTCGTCAATCAACTGGGAGTGAAATTGGTGGACATCGGTTGTTATGGGGTGATGATTGGTACAGGAAAGGTGGAGGAAGGCCAAGGAATTTGTAAAGGAGTGGTGTTGACCATCCAGGGGATTCAAGTAAGGGAGAACTTTCTCTCACTAGAGTTAGGAAGCACTAATGTCATCCTGGGGATGAAGTGGTTACAAACCTTGGGGGATACCAAGGACAATTGGGGAGCACTCACGATGGAATTAATGGTGGATGGGAGAAGGGTAGTCATAAGGGGAGATGCAGGGCTATCCAAAGCCATCACAACACTCAAGACCATGGTTAAGGACGTACAAGAGGTGGGGGAAGATTATCTAGTGAGACTACACAGATTGGATGCAATCAGATTGGAAGAGGGAGGGGATGTTTCCCTGTCCGTTCAGCCCTTGATTCAGCAATATAGTAACGACTTTCAGTCACCTCAAGGATGGCCACCTCCATCGGAACACGAGCATATCTCCACCTTGAGGACAAGGTGAATTTTCGGGAGGGGAGTATTGTTAGGCCGGTCCACTGGACTGGTCCAGTCGGTCCGCACGGGACCGGCAGAGGCGCGAACAGGCGGGATCTCCGCCTCCTGCAGAGATCGGGCGGGCCGACAGCTCAAACAGAGCGTTTTAGGAAGGATTTTTGGGGGGTTTCAGAGAGAAATTTGAATGTAGGGACTGTTTAGGGAATTTCTTTTGATTTGTATGCATTAAATAGTTGATTTTGCTAGGGTTTGAGTATCTTGAATTTGGCAGAAATTTGAAATCTCTTAGATTTAGGTTTTCTTTGGGCTCTAGCGGCGTCTAAAGATTTGGGAGAGATCGATCCTCCTCTCGAATTGAGGATCAATTGTATCTTTGTTGTTTTCTTCTTCTTCTAGTGAAATACAAGATTTTATGTGACTTTTCTCTCCGTTTTCCCGCGATTTCTCACTGTTTTCTTGAGAAAAACTGCTGTCCACTGCTGTAAACAGCAGTTTTCTGCTTGTTCTACTTCAGTTTTTGCTAGGAACTACTTGAAACCGAGTATTTCCTATCAACATCTTATTTAGCAACTCTTTTTTGGAAAGCAATCCATTATATGAGACTATAACAGAAAATTAATTAGTTTCTTTACTGATGCATCAAACGCTGTTTGTAGAAAAGGGTTGCAGAATCCTCAGGTAACATATAAAAGCTGAAATACCTCATCACCATCAGCACAATGTCCTCGGAGGAAACCATCACATAAAGGAGCGTTAGCATTGACCTTTACATGTCTATAAGGGCAATTTATGTTGGTGCATAGTCCTGTCAAAAGAACATTCAGTTATGGAGGTCTATGTAATCCACAGTCAATATTGAAATAAATGATAGGGTCGGATAACCTTTCAGAAAGTATGAACAGTCTGGCATTCTTTCTGGAATAATCTGTATGCAAGTTTAATTTAAAAAAACAAAGGTTTAACATCACATATGATTTTCATGGATAAACAATAAAAAAAAAGTTTTAAAACATACAAGCCAAATCACATCTAACCTTATGGGTTAACTTGCAGTTGGCATCAGAACATTGACCTCTAAGAAATTTAGCGCAGATGGCAACCTTAGCAGGGTCATGAATGTATGGGCATTTCCTTCCACTTTTATTGCACTTGCCAAACCGTGTAAAAAATAGGCAAAACTGACGTTTCTGAGCCAACCTTAACCTAGCTGAGTGCAAACTCCACCGTACTTTCTCATTAGCTAGAATACGTTTAAGTTTCTTTGGATCTCTAACAAGCTGGTTGCCATTGCCAATTCGAACATACCTAGCAAAATCATAAACAAGCGATTATAATATGTAAACAACCACGAAATTAACTCCAAAAGAGAGGTTGTAAATAATACTTAATCATGAGAAATAGATGAACTTACTCATTATTTCCAATGACTAATCTCCTAGGAACAAAAGATATCTGACTGCTGTTGCCAGGTTGCTGACTTGCAGGAGATGATGAATGATCATCTAATTTGTAAATAGACATTAATTCAACAAGAACAAACTTCAGAAAGGAAAACACTTCTAGATAACACAAAATATGCTATAAATAATGATCAAAGCAAAAAAAAACTTTTACCCTGAGTACCATTATTCACCATGTGAGACTACATTAGTATGACAACTATGTTCAAGAATAAATTTAACAAAATATAAGAAGGTGATTTATAAAAATCACAACCAATAAAAAAGTTTGCTTCAATCATTTGAACTGAGCTAAGAAAATTATTTTAATTAATCATTCAAGTTAAGATACATAAGTTCATTGCAAGTGCAATATTTTAGAAGTAAGCCTACAGTTTCAGAATTTCTAGAGATCTATTACAACCCATCTAGCACCATAGTACAGAAGATTAACTTGCAAGAACACTCTTATTATGCCAACTCCAAATGATCTAACTATGCACAAAGGTTTTTATAGGTTATGTTAGCTTCTCAAACAAATGCTCTTACATGAAAAGAACCTTTAACATTGATCCTCTAGTGGTAATCCTTACAAATTATCAGGAGAAACGCTTAATGAAAGAAGTTCCATTTGACAGCTGAGAAACGTTAATACAGATTCCCCAACAAAGGTTTTCTAGAGCAATTTCATATCCACAGTAATTAGTTTAACATGAAAACAGTAAAATATTATTAAAAAACGAGATAAAAAGAAACTAAATTGTACCAAAACAATACAAACCTGGTATCCTTAACAATGTCCGCATAGATGAGTCCATTTTATATCGAGCTGAACCAACACGAAAGATGCGTTCCCCTGTCAACAAAGTGCTTAAATTTTGGTCGTGTCTGAATATTTAAATAAATACAGCAATGCTTTCTCAAATCTTAGAGTATAGTTAAAATAAAGAAAGACGAAAACAAAATCATATTATCAAATATGTTATAAGTTTTAAAATTGAAACAATTAACAAAGCATAATAAAATCATGGAAAATGAATGCAACATTATAAATTGGACATGGTTGCATTTTCAAGCAGATGTCTAGTTACAGGAATGGAAGTAAGATAACTAAGTCAGATAAAAATGTTAATAAAGAACACTCTAAACATTCCACATGAAGCATGTAACTAAGGTTTCGTTTGGGACGATTTTTTTATTGTTTTTTAAAATAAAGTTTTAGTACAAAAATTAAAAATTTTATACTAAAACTCTATTTTAAGAAGCAATAAAAAAATTGTCCCAAACGAAGCCTAAGACAACGTAAACAAAATTTCCAAACGTTAGTTGAATTGCCATAATAAATAAATCCACAAACCATCAATATTTTCAGCTAAATATAAGTATTTTAAAGTTGTATAGAGCATCATTTAAATCACCTTGTTTTAGCTCAATGCCTAAAGTTGACCTGCAGGTTAAACTAGCTTTGTTCTTCCCATTACCACATGAAGATTTACTTCTTTTCCTCTCTCGTTTTTTCCTCTCCACCTCAGCAACTGCCAATGTAGCTTCCTACAAATATGCATGAGAACTCCAACGTAAAGCAGCACATGATTAATATATATTTTGATAACACAGACATACTAACAATTCCTAGGAGCATACATGATTTCACAGCAGAGTGCAAATAAAGACAGCTGAAGCCTATTGATGTCTGTGTACACAAAATGAATCAAAATAATATGCAGGGCAAGAACAAATTCCGAATAAGCCCTATAAAATAGCCATCTTATTTCTCAAAAGCATCCACAAAATTTGAATTCAAAAACTACAAGTTCTAAGGCATTGCACGGCTCATGCAAATTTAAAATAGAAAAACAAAACTAATCCTTGCTTCTCAAATAATATAATCATCAGCTCTTTTGGTTCCAAGAAAACAGACGTGTCCCCTGCTTACAAAACTCATCCATTAATTTGTAAACATATGCAAGTCTTTACTAGTTCATTTCTCCAAGAAATAATCATCAATCTGAAACTAATGCAGGAGTTCAAGAGTTTCATGAAGCAAAGGTCCAAAACTAAAAGAACACCATTTAAAACCAAAAAACGACAAGTACAAGCAAAAGAATGTATCAACACAAAAAATGTACCTCACTAGCCTTCTTTGAACGTTTTTCTATGGATTTTGACCATTTCAGACTAGATCCACCAATGCTTACTACTCCAGCTTTTCGAAGAGAGAATCCACTAGTAGATACTTCATAGATTGTATTCCTTTTCCTCAGACACTGCAATTTCCGGCTGAATGAATGAAGAGAGAGACATTACTAATACAACAAAGCAAATAAAAGGTTCGAAAAGCAGTTCATTTACAGAAAAGAAAAATAAACACAAGGAAAAGCTTCTTTTTAAAAGATGTAGACCACCTGATCAATGAAACTGAGGATCTACTTGAAATAGGAATGCTGTTGGGTATCATAAGGCTTTTCCAGTTTACTGCTCTCTTCCATGGAAATATGTATGGGAAAACCCTCCGACAACCAAACGCTGCAATGCATTTTTGGGACAATTTGTCCCCACTCAACGTCCACACTAGAGAAGATCTTCTTGGCATTTTTGCTTTTTGAAGAACTGCATAAGTGAAATCCACCACACAACATAAGCCAAGATTTCAAAAAGTCGGTGGTGATGCTCATAAAATATTAGAAGCCTCCTCAGGTATTTAAGGAAGAAATCAAAATAAAAAATAATGATACTATGTACTAGTCGTACATGATGCCATTTTGGAAAGAAACAGAACATGCAAAATCTTTCAACGTTCTTGGAAAAAAAATGTATATGAAAGACACCAAGTGCGAGAGAAATGGCACAGCTATTTACAAGAATTATTTGAAATTTAGGCTAGCTGCAATTCTTCTAAACCAAATATTTGATTCAATAAACTGGATAACTGACTGCACTTGAAATCTGCAACCCTTTTAAGTGCCATTGCCCACCGTATAACAGTTTAGGGACCAACAAAAGATGGCAAATGGAAGAAAATAATAAAAACATTGCTATGGGGTAAAATAAAAAGAAATGAGGATTGATTCACTCATAATAAACACTACCATTGCCATCTCCCAAATCCTAGACGAGAAAAGTGAAGGGTTGCATCAGGAAGTCGACAGCAAGTGTGAAAACTTGTCGAATAATCATGACATGAATCCTTTAATCCATTGTATTAATGCTAGGGAGTTCCATAGAAGCGATGCGTTGTATGGCCTGAATACATCAACAAGTATGCAAGGGCCGCTTCACTGACGCCCATATGCAGTGGTAAATAGGCAGGGGTTTTCACATCATGGATGGATGTGGGCAAAGAAGCAATTCCATGAAACTAAAATTAAGATGGAACTTGGAAAATAGGTTCCCTTACAAGCAAATAATGGAATTAATGGATATTATGATTTATAAGAAAATAAAAATTCTATGCATTTGGGAAACTTAATGGGTATGAGAGAAGGCTAAGGATATTGATAATTAAAATTTTAAACTATGATATTCTGGTAGGAGTCCTACTAGAAATGGTGTGCAATTCCATAAAACTAAAATTAAGATGGAACTTGGAATATAGGTTCCCTTACAAGAAAATAATATAATTAATGGATATTATGATTTATAAGAAAATAAATATTCTATGCATTTGGGAAAACTAAATGGGTAGGAGAGAAGACTAAGGAGATTGATAATTAAAAATTTAAACTATGATATTCTGGTAGGAGTCTTACTAGAAATAGTGTGTGTGATTATAGACAAGAGTTTGAAGGATAGTGTTGTAAAAATTAATAGAATTAGATATAACATTATAGTTTTAAAGATTGTTGTTGATACTAGGATTATTAATATTATAAGTGATTATGCTTCTCAAACAAATTAGGATATATGTTAAAAATTAAAATTTTGGAATGACTGAGAAAATTAATACAAAAGATACTGCTCGAAGAAAGAATTTTTATTGGAGGATATTTAAATGGACAATAGGTAGAGAGGTAGATGATTTTAAAAGCATTCATAGTGGCTTTGGGTTTAGAACAATTAATGAAGTAAAACCAAATTAAATTTTTCTTTAGCTTATGATTTTATAATTGCTAATATCTTATTTAAGAAAAGAAAAGAGTATCTCATCACTTATAAGAATTGATATAATAAAACTCAGATTGATTATTTTCTTATAAAAAAAATAGATCATTTAGATTGCAAAGATTGTAAAATTATTCCAAGTGAAAATTTATGTACCCAACATCGCTTATTAATTATGGACTTTAAGATGAATGTGCAAAAAATAAAAAATAAATTAAAACGTTGTTCTAGGATTAGATGGGGGCACTTAAAAAATATTAAGAAAAATACTTTTGGAAGTGGGATTATAGATCTTAAGATTTTATCTACGCATGAGGAAGCTAATGTTATGTGAAAAAAAATAGCTAATGATAGTAAGGGCCCATTTGGTTTAGCATCACAACTATTTGCTTTATAGAAACTGTTAAATGGTTGTTTATGGCGTTGTGGCAGAAGCGGGTTAGGAAACTTTCTGCGGCCCATCACTGCTTCCCGCGGCCTATCACTACCTCTTGCGGTTTGCTACTTTTCGCAGTTTTGAAGGGCAAAAATGACATAAATGACAACTTTGTGCGAGAGTACTCGATCATTTCAGCGATAGTCACATCCTCATCTCCACTTCCGTAGCTCCCCTCATGCCATTATGATCACGCTAGTCATCTGCACAGCCGATTATCTCAGGGGTCGCTTCTCATCACAATCCCATCTTCATCCTCGTCTCCACCAAGCTGCACCATCCGCTTGACTCACATGAAGGTTTATTGGAGTTTGCTTGGAGGTTGCTCGTAAGCTCAGCAACTTATTTTGAACAAGCACATGCTTCTTAAGCCAAGGTACCGTCGTGACTTTCGCTCATTTACGATCGTGACTTTCGCTCATCTGCGATTACTCTATTATTTATTTCAGTAAATTTCTTCCTTCATATTTATAATTTTACTCCACAATTTCTCTATGAAAATCAATTTTCTCTTAACTCATCTTTCCCCAAATTTCCCCTAAAGAGCAAGATGAATCAAAAGCTATATCTCAACTTTTCCCTATTTTTAACTTCCAAAAATCTGACGCTGCTATCTCACATTAGTTTTATCTATCTTTAATTAACACTTTTGTTTTGTTCTACAGTGTATTTAATTTCTCATAGAAACAACACCTGCTTAGTGATATTTCATCATAAAAACAACTGCCATCTCAACTTATTAACACCTTTGTTTAGTGCTGCAATTCAAAACAACAATTGCTTTTTGCTAAATTTGTGATTGTGGTTAATTTCACTGACTAATTAATATCACCAAAAAAGGAAAATCAGAACCAAGCTTAACAATAATTTCACATAGCCAAGCTTAAAAATAATTTCTCATAGCCAAGCTTAACATTAATTTCTCATAGGATGAGGATCATTAAGAAAATTTACAAGAACAATTTCTCATAAAAACAAAATTAGAACCAATATTATTTTTCATAAATAATAATATGCTTTTACATATACAACAAGATGATCAAGTTTTATTTTCAAGAAGATTTAAGCGTTGTCTTTTGGTTCAGGTTGTTTTTTATTTTTGTTGTTGAAGCAGCTGGTATTTTACTAAAATAGCCTTGAAATTCATATAGATATATTGCAGATTATATACACTATTGTAAATGTTACAAATAATTATCATGTATTTTAAGCTGTAGAATTACAAAAAAAATTCACAACCCTTACCATTTATTTATAATATAGCAATTAAAATATTAAATGGGTAAACCAAAAGATGGTGGAGCATCTACAACATAGGAGAAAGATGAAAAGATGATATTTAGTGATTTATGTTTAAGAGAGATTGAACTTGACAATCGACCAACAATACACTTCGATAAAGAGGCCTGGATGAATTTAATGAAGAATTTTTATGAGAAAACTAGAAGAGAATATGATAAAGTGTAGCTAAAAAATAAATGGGACCAGTTAAAGAAATATTGAAAATTATTTAAGAAGCTGAAGCATGGGTCAACTGGATTGGATTGAGATCTTAGAAGAAAAATCGTTGATGCACTTGATGAATGGTGGAATGAAAAATTAGAAGTGAATATTGATTGCATACATGTTAATCTATTTGTTTCTTTCAACCTTCATATTATATATTTGAGTTCTATAAATTGATTTTTTCTTTGTAGGTTGTGTCAAATGCTACATTATGGCATTAATCCTGAACTTGAACATAAGCTTGATTTGATGTTCATGGCGTTGTTATTACTAGAGATTATGCTTGGATTTCCAACCAAGGACTTGACCATAAAAATGTTCTTAGAGATACTAAACACGTTGATATTGCTAGTGACTATTTTGAAGACCCTCATAAATTTCATTAGCATTAGTGACTGTAACTAGTTGAAATGACCTTCTATAACTTCAACTGCTATAAGGAAAAATATATTTGGATCCATATTTCTACGAAGTCAAATTACCCAGCTTGTCAATTCATGTACAAACATTACCTCAAGAACTAATGCATCACATTCAATAATTGAGACACTATCGCTTTCTGCTATCATTAAAGTTCTTGAACAAGTAACAGAAGCAACTGAGGACATGCCACTTTATTTCTTCTCTACAAAGCTTAATGAGGATTCAACTAAGAGAAAAAATTTTATATCAATTTGTCCTGATCGAAGAGTTTATTATCTTCATTACTGTTATGAAAATTATGATAGAATAACATCATAGTTTGATAGATCGTTACAGTCAATCACTTTGTAGTGTCTTCCTATAAGTACACATTAATGTTGTAGTTTGAACATATGATATGATGGATTATGTTGTTATATTAATATTTTTTACATCAAGCATACTGTTATTATAATATTTATCAATTGAGTCCTAAACTTGTTTCTATTTGTACTCCGGATATTATATTTCCTGAAATTTTCACCTTAGTTATGTGAACTGCCTGTTTGAACATTGCTATTTTTTTGACTGGTTTGAACTATAAATTTTTCATCTGGGATCCCTTTTTTTTGTTTTCATCATCTGCTCTCTATCAAGTTGTGGAGCTTATTTCTTTCCCAAAGAATAAAATGCATTAGGTAGGTTTTGTCGTTGGGCTTAATCTTTGATTCAAAGAAATTACTGATATAATTCACAGCAATCAAGTTATGTGGAATAGGTGAATTTATATAAAATTCTTTATTAATTTTATGCTTTGAACTTCTTTTTTCTTACTTTTACACTCTAGACATTTCAATATATTTTCGCATATTTCCCTATCTAATATCATCGACATGCTTGATCTTTTCTGTGGTGAAAATTCCTTTAGGTGCGTTATAGCCCAAATCAAATCCAGAGTTTGCTTCCTGTAACTTACCAGTTAGTTCATTCCATTTCATTTTTGTTATATCTCTTATTGGCAGGATGGTATGGGCTATGATTTCATCATGAAACACAGTTCTTGAAGCTCTCATGACTACTAATTAAGATTCAAAAAGAAATGAAATTTGGGTTCTTAGTAGAACTTCCAAGATAATTGTTTCTTCCAGTTCAGCAGTTTGTGGCA